AACATATAACATATAACATATAATATATATTATATTATATTATATTATATTATATTATATTATATTATATTGTTGTAATTATATTTTTGTATTTATAGATTATATATATTGTAATTATAGTAATTATATTATATTATATAGACCTATATAATATTATATTATATAGTTGTGACCTATAACTAATATTATATTAGTTATAGTTGTGACCACAGATCACAAAGCTATATTAATAGTAGTACATTATATTAATATTACGTTACATTATAATATTGTATTAGTATTATTTTTATAATATTAATATATTAATTTTTTGGGGGAGTCTGACAGCAGCTTGTTGCATCCCACAGGTTTGGCTGGGAGGAGTTCCTCCCTCTGCCTTCACAAAGCTCAGCCTGAGCCATCCAACCCCTCCCAACACTTTGCCATCCTTTCTCCTGCTGTGCTTTAGACACATTCCCAAACAAGGGCAAAAAACTTGTATAATGCTAATAACAATAACTTTACAAGCTACTTACACCCTGCAAAGCTGGGGCTACTGTTTTGAAGACAAAGCAATTTATTTCTCTTAAATCACAGTCATTAACTCAGCATCTCTCCATTCCCCAGAAAAACCAGAAACTAACAGCAAACCCCAATATTAAGAGGCAGAAACCCCCCAGTTTTGGAGTGAGTCACCAGCCCTGGGTGTTTCTGTGGGTGCTGGCTGGGAGGATGCTGTGCAAAATGACAGGAATGAAATTACTCTGGGTTTGGCACAGGAAGAAAAATGGGAGAGGAAATTTATCCCCTGGAAGGAGGTTTTTCTCTGCTCTCCCCCTCCAGATGCTGAAGAAATGCTCTTCTTTATAGGGATAAAATGCTCTTTATATTGTAATGTTGTGCTGTGATTTGGGGCAACCTTTCTGTTTTAAAGCCTAGAAATAAAAAGCAAATTTTCTTCTTGAGACCTCGGGATGGGAACTTGGTGCTGCCACCAGAGGGACTCTGAAATGAGACAGAAAAGCTGAGTGTCCTCAAAGCAGACAGAGGTCTGGCAAAACATCCTGAACTTTTTGGGGCTGCTCTGAGGATTTCTCTAAGTTTTCTGCACTCAGGGCTTGAGGGGTGGGCTCTGCTATGAGCTTTATGTGCTTTCTTCTCTCAGATTACATAGAGATTATAATATATAAAATATATATAATATATATTATTCTATTCTATTCTATATATAATATATATGTAATAATAAATTATTACATAATATATTATTATATTATATTATATTAGATTAGATTAGATTATACTGTATTACGTTATGCTACATTATGTTATATTATATATTATTATATATTATTATATATCATTATATATTATATTACTATATTTGATTATATATTATTATATATTATTATATGATTATATCATTATAATTATATTACATTATACTATAATATATTATATGGTATAATATATTAATATATATTATATAATAATATATTATTATTTATTATAATACATAATTATATAATTATAATTATTATATTATACCATATTATATCATATCATGTATCACATCATATTATACTATATATAATAACACAACATAATATATATTGTATTCTTGTAATATATATATAATATTATATTACATTACATTCGTTTATAATAGATTATAATAAATTATGGACTCTGTCATCCCCCCCCCATTCCCCACAGTTAATCCCCCTGTGTCCCCTTGCAGCTCAAGGTGCAAAATGCTCATCAAGTCCCCTCTCTTTTGGTGGCTCCCCTGATGCTCAGTCACACACCAAGCACCAAACCTGACTGTTTAAACAGGAATGAAAATGTTAATGATTTGCTGGAACTCATGAGAGAATTATAATGTGGGGCTTTTGAGCTTTTATTGCAAATTTGTGTTTTGAAAGTGAAGAGAAAGATGATTTTTAAAAAAGTGACTGAAGGTAAAGGCTGCAAAAATTCCATAAGGTTCAGATGGATTCTGCTGTGTCTGGTGAAAACAACCATCCTCATCTGGGCCATAAAGGAGTGGTCTTTGTCTTTTCAAGTAAAAGTGGAAAAATTGCCATTGCTGCAGCATCTCCCACCTGAGAAGATCCACCACAAAGGAAGGAGAGAGCACTCAGGATGAAACTGCTTTTCTTTCCCACTCTGGGTTGAGTTTTTTTGTTATAAACCCCTAAATCCTAAGAGGCATTGGAACAAAAATCTCTAATGATTAAATTATTTTCCTTCTTGTAAAGCATGTATGGAGTTTTGCAGTGACAGCCTCTGGCCCAACAAGAAAAAGGCTTCTGCCTTTCCTAAAATTCCCATTTCCCATGTTTCTGAAGAAGGAACTGTGTCACTGAGCCTGCTGCAACATTTCATTTATAATAAAACACCCAAAGCATTAAGAACCACAGGATTACCATGATTTAGGTGTGACCCCAGGGCACACAGAACCTGATTTCCTGGAATGCAAAATAGCCAAAATAAAATAGTTTTCAAGGAACTCTCCAGATGTTGTTTTTCAGTTACAGCCCCACTGATTTCCCTGCTGTTACTCAGCCCTGGCCTGAGATGCTTCAACTTTACCTGAAGTGATACCAAACACAGAATTTGCAAAGTCCCATCATCCAGACTGTGCTCATCTCAATTTTCACACACTTCTGTAACCTCTGGGGCTGGGGACATAAATAAAATGTTTTTAATCTCATGGCTTTGGGAATCCCAACTCTTCCTTCGCAGTGTTGGGGGGGAGAATCACCCTCCTTGACCAGCTGGGCACACTGTTATGGAAATATCCTTTCATCTGGGTGTTCCTCCCTCACCCCTCTCTGGTTCATGCTCCCACCCTGTGGCACAGAAATCACAGCCCCTATTGGTGACACTGCAGGTGACACTGAGCAGAGCAACAGAATCTCCTTTTCACCTTTTTTTTTTTTCTCCCAGGCAGAACTCCTTTTCAGCTCCCCTCTCTTATTAATAGCTGTGGTTTAGGCTGCTCAGCTTTTTAATTTTTTTTTCCTTTTTTGAAGTACAAAGCAAAGATCCCACAACTCTTTTTGATTCCTGTCCTGCTCATGGGATGCAGCCATGCCTGGTTCTTCCAGGACTTCTGTCCAGACACACTTTGCACATGACATTCACACTCCAGCCTTCCCAAAATGCCCTCTGAGTTCTGTCTTATCTTTTTAATTCTTACATGGGAAAGACTTCCAGCCTCGGAAATGGGAACTAAAGGGGAAGTAACAATGAGTTTGGACTTAATAATTAAACAATCAATTAAGTTCTGAAAAGTTGTTCTGAAAATCTGCTGAATCCTGCTCTCCCTGCCAGTCTCCACCATGAATTGTGTGTTATTCCCCCTGTTTCAGAAGGAATGGACAACATTAGGACTATTATGATGCCCAGCTTGGGGTCTGTGCAGCACTGGAATATGACAAAGCGATCACTGGTGTTTCAAAGACAGCCCTGTGGTCAAAAGCAACATGGGCAAGGTGAGTTCCTCATTCCCCTGCTGCCCAGAAAGCATCCCAAGAGAACAGACTCCAGCACAGAAACACCTTCACCAACCTGTGAATCTCTCTGCTGGCTGAGTGCACAGAATCCAGTGTCCCTGTGCCTGTTCCCTGCTCTCCAGCCCTGTCTGTGCTGTTGGCACTTGGTGTCTCTGCTGGGGCACAACCAGACCCCAAAGTTTGGTGTGGGACACAGGAATGCAGCACTGCAGGGCTGGAGGAGGACTCTGCTCAGGCAGATGGGGGCTGGAATAAATAATAAATAATCAAAAAGTGGAAATGACAGCTCCTCACACTGCTGCTGCTTCTGGGCCTCACCAGCTGCTGAAAGGAGTTTGTGCAACTCCTACCATGCTTTGCTTATCCCCAGAGTCTGTCCCAGAACAAGAAAGAAGAATATTGACCCCAACTTATCCCCCCAGCTGCAAACTGCTATTTTCAGCATCTGCCCTGATAAAAACAACCCCCTGAGCTGGGTGAAGAGACCAGGCAAGGGGAAACCTGAGGAGGGTCCGTTTTTAATAAGCATTTATTTATAAACTGACACTTTACAATGGTTTAAGTGCTCACAGGCATCTCCAGGATCTGTGCTGAAGGTTTACTGTGAGATGCCAAGCAGGGAGAAAATGAGCAGAATACATTGAGGCAAAACATTGGTTTTGATCAAATGTCATGAAAAAATTTGTCTCTTTTATGGTGAGTTTCATGGTATAGGATTCAGTCATTTTCTTAGAGCTCAGGTCTTTGAGTGACAGGATTATAAATAATTTTTTATTTCTTCCAAAGTAAATTTTCAGGTTTGTCAAGCTCGGTTGACTTTTAAGAAAAGGACCAACTTTTTCAAGAAGAAAAAATCAGTGGCAAATTCAAACCACCTTAGGTAGAAACCGTAAAAAATTACAAGGGTTTTTTTTTTTTTTTTTTTTTTTTTTGGTAATCCCGTGGTTTCTAACAGCTTACCTGGAGGTTTTTGAATGCTTGGAGTTCAAAGTGCTGCTGCAATGAATTTTAAAATAGAGACTTTAAGCTTGATAGAACAGTAGTGCATCGTAATGTAACAGGAAATAGGAAAAGGGGCTTAAAAGTCTCTTTACAAGTAACACACAGGGCAAACCCGAGGCTGGCAGCTCAGTTAAGTGATCCTGGGCCAATTTCAGATTTCTGCAGCTCTGACCCAGCTGCAGCCCCGGGGCAGCACTGAGAAACCACACGATGTGAGTGCGGAGCTGGAGACAAAACAGCCAGGCGTGAAAAGAGTTCATGGCAGAACGGAGCAGAGCATCCACCTCCTCTTCTGCACCCCAAACCCTGCAGGATTTGTCCCAAACAGCTGCTGGCTCCCGGCAGGAGCCCCCAGCATCCCTCAGCCAGATGGAACTCCAGACTCATCTCGCAGCCCTCGCATTCACACGACTCCTTGCCCCTCTCCACAGAGAGAGCACCAAAACCGAGTTTTTAGAACCCTTCAGGGCTAGGGGGTCCCCAAAGCCCTACCTTGGCCGGCCGCTCTGCCGGTCTCTGCGTGTTGGCAGCGCCTCCTCTTCCTCACTTGTCCTTGAGCGTGGCCATGCCCAGCGCCTCGGAGCTGTAGTCGTACTGGTTGCTGGAGGACATGGAGCGGCCCCAGGAGCACTGCAGGTTGGAGCCCCTCTTGCGGAAGGAGGACGTGAACCTGTAGAAGTTGCGGTGCCGGTTGCGCAGGTACTCCCGGTAGTTTTTGGTGAGCAGGGTGTAGAGGAAGGGGTTGATGCAGCTGTTGCTGTAGGTCAGGCAGGTCACCAGGTAGTTAATGCACTTCTGGGTTTGGGTGGTGAGCTGCAGGGAGCTGCTGTAGAGGCGCACCAGCTGCCAGATCCAAAAGGGCAGGAAGCAGGCCCAGAAGACCAGCACGATGCTGAAAATCATGATGAGGACCTTCTGCCGGGGGGACCTCTTGCTCTTCTCCTTGTGGGGGGGGTTCCTCTGGGACTCCAGGTAGGTCCTGGCCAGCCGCGTGTAGAGGAAGCCGATGATGATGCCCGGGGCCATGATGCTGGTGCTGAAGAGCACGGTCAGGTAGGTCCTGTAGGCGTCCACGCTCCAGGTGGGCGCACACATCCTCTTCACCTTGCCCTCCGCCTTGCCCCCCTCGGTCAGCGTGACCATCAGCATCATGGGCAGCGTGAGCAGCAGCGACACCGACCACACAGCCCCCGCCGTGACCTTCCGGTAGCCCCGCGACCGCTTCAGGGTGTCCAGGGGCCGGGTGACGGCCAGGTAGCGCTCGGTGCACATGAGGGTGAGGGTGAAGATGCTGGCGTGCATGGTGAGCAGGTCCAGGCTGAGCAGGATGCGGCACCCCAGGTCCCCGAAGTACCAGTCCTGGGCCAGGTAGGTGCAGACGATGAAGGGGATGGTGGAGAGGTAGAGCAGGTCGGCCAGGGCCAGGCTGACGATGGAGCTGTACATGGGGGCGGCGCAGCGCGCCGAGTGGCACATCACCACCAGCGTGTAGACATTGCCGGCCACCCCGGCCACGTACATCACCGACAGCACCGTCCCGAAGGCCGAGGGGATGAGCAGGGGGCCGCTCCCGGGGGCTCCCCCGCCGCCCGCCGCCGCCGCCGCCGTCCCGTTGTCCCCCGCCGCCGCCGTCCCGTTGGGCTCCATGGGCGGCGGCGGCGGCCCCGGCACCGTCGCACCGGCCCCGGAGCTCCCGGCCCCGGCGGCGGCCGCTCCGCCCCCCGCGGGAGGCAGGGCGGGACCGGGCTGCCCCCGGGGGAAAGGGGGGGAAGGGGGGGAAGAGCCGCCCCCGCCCCGCCGGGGCTGCCCCGCTCCGAGCCCGCTCCGAGCCCGCGGGGACCCCGCAGGTGCCGTCCGGGTCCGGCAGCGCTCCGGGGAGAGCGGCGAGAGCGCCGGCTGTGCTCAGCCCGGGCGGGGACCCTGCGGAGAGCGGCTCGCCGAGCTGGGAACGGGGCTCCCCGAGCTGGAAATGGGGCTCCCCGAGACGGGAGTGGGGCTGTCCCAGCAGGGAACGGGGCTCTGTCCTTCGGGAATGGGGCTGTCTCAGCCGGGAACGGGGCTCCCCGAGCTGGGAATGCGGCTCCCGGAGCCAGGAACGCGGCTCAGTTCTCCGGGAACGGGGCTCTCCGAGCTAGGAACCGGGGTTCCCCAGCTAGGAATGCGGCTCCCGGAGCCAGGAACCGGGCTCCCCGAGCCGGGAACGGGGCTCTGTCCTCCGGATACAGGGCTGTCCCAGCCGGGAACGGGACTCTCCGAGCCGGGAATGGGGCTGTACCTGCCGGGAACGGGGCTGTCCCGGCCGGGAATGAGGCTCCCCGAGCTGGGAACGGGGCTCCCCGAGCTGGGAACGGGGTTCCTCGAGACAGGAACGGGGCTCTCCCAGCCGGGAACGGGGCTCCTCAAGTCGGGAATGGGGCTCTGTCCTCCGGGAATGGGGCTCCGGGAGTCGGGAATGGGGTTCTGTCCCCCGGGAACGGGGCTCCCCGAGTTGGGAATGGGGCTCTGTCCCCCGGGAACGGGGCTCTGTCCTCCGGGGATGGGGCTCCCCGAGCCGGGAATGGGGCTCTGTCCCCCGGGAATGGGGCTCCCCGAGCAGGGAATGGGGCTCTGTCCCCCGGGAACGGGGCTCTGTCCTCCGGGGATGGGGCTCCCCGAGCCGGGAATGGGGCTCTGTCCCCCGGGAATGGGGCTCCCCGAGCCGGGAATGGGGCTCTGTCCCCCGGGAATGGGGCTCTGTCCCAGCCAGGAACGGGGCTCCCCGAGTCGGGAATGGGGCTCTGTCCCCCGGGAATGGGGCTCTGTCCCCGCCAGGAACGGGGCTCCCCGAGCCGGGAATGGGGCTCTGTCCCAGCCAGGAACGGGGCTCCCCGGGCCGGGAATGGGGCTCTGTCCCCCGGGAATGGGGCTCTGTCCCAGCCGGGAATGGGGCTCTGTCCCCCGGGAATGGGGCTCTGTCCCAGCCAGGAACGGGGCTCCCCGAGCCGGGAATGGGGCTCTGTCCCCCGGGAATGGGGCTCTGTCCCAGCCGGGAACGGGGCTCCCCGGGCCGGGAGCGCGTCCGGAGCGCCCCGCGCCCCCCGCGGAACGAGCCCCGCCGGGCAGCGTCAGCCTCCGGGAGATGCCTGGAAAGTTTTCCCGGCCACTCCGCCGGAATTCGGCGCTCCCCTCCCGCGGTGGCACCGCTGGCTGTGGGGCTCGGCGCTGCGCTTCAGCTCAGCGCGCAGAGAGGCGTCAGCGGCCGACAGGGAGAGCCAGAGGCAGCCGCGCTCCGCAGGTGCCCCGCGCAGAGCGCTCCGGATGCGCTCGGAGAGGCTGATGTGGAGGTGGATAGCGAGCCCGCGCTGAAAGAGCCTCCTTTCTCCCTGGAAGTAGCTCGTATTTTGAATTTTACCCTGAGAAGCACGACAATGCTTTATAAGATTTAAAATTCCAGCTTTAGTGGTGGATGATTCTTGTGGAGAAGGGGAAGCACAGTGGGATGAACATGAGGTTCACAGAAACAACTTTTCCCCTTAGGCAAGAAGTCTGGGGACAGCTGCAAAATCACCTTGCATTTCCATCTTATTTTAGAGAAAGCAGAGATATGGCAGTCCATAGTCAAAGGACAATTTCCAAGGGTACCAGAATGCTGTATTCCCTCAGCTCCCATTGATTTCCAATAGAAGTTAACTGGCTTTTATGCTTCAAACATTTCTGTTTAAACCAGAGTGCTAAAATGACTGATATATGTTTATTTGCTTGTTTTAATCCTTCCTGAAAGCACTGTTGTGCAAACTGTTGTCTAATTCACTATGAAGCGGTGAAAATCTCGTTTACTTGTAGGACCAGGATTCAGCCCTATAAAAATATTTATAGGGCTGAATCCTATAAATATCAAGACAATAAAAATACTGTCTTGAGTACTTGATTGTAATCTGCTGTGAGGTGAACACACAAATGCACAAATCCAGCCCTGCTTTCCTCCCTGGTGCTGCTCATCAGCGTTCGTGTCTCTGCAACGCGCTCCAAACGCTCACAGCTATATTCAATAAAGGGCTGGCTTAAACATGCTGGTGAGGGAGAAGAAACTAAATTGAATTATTTTCAGGCAGGGGGTTTCTTTATCAGCCTCAGCCATGGCACTGAAATGCTCAGGTCCAAGGGTTGTGGTGGAATTTGCTTTTCTCTGGAAGTTTGGACTCGCCCGGTGCCAGCGGCCTCGGCAGCCCCGCATTCCTCTGAGGCAGCTGGACACAGCAGCTGGGAATGCAGAGGATGCTTCAGCAGGGCCAAATCCTGCCTGCATGGCAGGCCAGGGGATTGACTGCCACACACTTCCAGTGAGACCCATTTTTGGCATAAATAGATCATCTCTGAGAATTAGGTTGCCACAACTTTCACAGTCCTGTTGCCTTTTGTTTTGAAGTTGTTTTCTCTCTGTTTTTTTATCTGTCTTCATCTAGTGGCCAGGACAGAGGGAAAAGAGAGAACAGAACAGATATTTTGTTTTCTGCTGTATTACCTGATTTGTTTTGGGAGACCACACGAGATGTTAGAGGTAAGCAGAATAATGTGTTCTTCTAGAGAATTACTTCATCTGTTTAGTAAATATCTAATTTCAACTTTCCTGTTTTCCTTCCAGCACAAGAATGTTTAATTAAGCAACACCAGGCATCAGTGAGCCTGAGAGACACTTGTTTTCTTGATCATGTAGGATACACACATATATCCATGGGAACTGAGTCCTGCTAAACTCTTCAGAAATAGTTTGTAGCCTGAAGTTGTTCTGCAGCACAGCAAAAGCTGTTCTCTGAACAAAAGGCACTTCTGCTCTCAGCATGCACTGAGCCTCTCCTGCACACCCACAGGCATTAACAGAGCATTTCCTACTGGGGGCAACTGGGCCTGGAGCGTGTGAGAACCGTGATCAATCAGAATTGAAAGGGGGACAATGCAGGAGTCTGGAATACTGATGTTTCCCATTTGTCTGTGTACACAAGGAACACATCTTTCAGCAGTGTGGGCGACAAGTTACCAGAAGAAGTAGTGAATTTTCCATTTCTCCAGCTGTCTAAGTAAGGACTGCAAGTGCTCCCTTTTGGAAGATGAATTCTAATCAAACAGGAATAGGGAGCTCAGTGTATAATTACTGCCAGAGTAAATCCTCAGGGACTTGCACACAAAGCCAAGTCATCAAGGATCAAATTGTCTCATTAACCTCAAGATCTGTTATTCCCTACGTGGTTTTCTTGTAATATTCTAAAAAGTCTTGGTATGAAAATGATAACACAGAAGCATAGAGTCACAGAATCACAGAATGGTTCAGGTTGGAAGAGAACTTAAAGATCATTTCATTCCACCCCCTGCCATGGGCAGGGACACCTTCCACTACCCCAGATTGCTCCAAGTCCCATTCAAACTGGCCTTGGACACTTCCAGGGATGGGGCAGCCACAGCTGCTCTAGACAATACCTTGCATTACCTTGCACATGCACTTCAGGTGCAAAATTTCCCCTCTGGAGCCATGTATGGCTCATGCTGAGCATACCCAGCCATTTAAAATACAGCCAGTTCCATGTGGCATTTTATTCTCTGCTTTGAATAGAACTTTTTTCAGGTGCTCAGCACCTAATTTTAGAACTTCCTAACACATTTTTCTTCTTGATAGGAAGCAGACAGTAGCAGCCTACGTGGTTTGAGGGCTGTTTGAGCAGCCATGTTCAATTTTTTTTCTTGTAAAGCCCTTGATATTCTCTGTGAATAACTGGCACTCCTTTGGCTGTGAAGGTCATGGTATGTGTGGTGGGCAGCTGAAGGCTGTTGCCTTGGCAAATTGAAAGGCAGTTCTCCTTGCTCCATTCAGCTGTGACAGGATCCACACTAAGTGTTGTCTGGGCAAATGAGTGTTTGGAAGCAGAGACCCTGTTAGGCACCATCTTTGTACATGCTGTCCTCCTAAAATAAAATTCTGGGTGGAATTTGATTGTTGAGAGTGAATTTTGAGTTCAGGATAGGGAGCATGTGAAATGCTGCATCTGTGTCCTGGATGTGAGCTTTGGGTAGAGGTGCTATGGATGGCAGCTCCAGCCTTTGGCTGTTTGATTTCAGTTGTGCAAGTTCTGCCTGGCCAGGTGGGCACTGATGTTTCTTGTGATATTCTTGTGCCCAGTCAGCACATGGATGATCCTCTTCCCATCAGAAGGGCAGGAAGTGAGGAGATTTAACTGATCACTTGCCAAAGTATCAGGAAAGTATTTTGCTTTGGCCAAGTTCAGAGGGCTCCTGACAGAGGATCTGAGTGAGAAGGGCAGAGGGAGGGATGTCTCTGGAGAAAGCCAGGGCTGAGCTTTGTTAGATCCCAAGCATGTGCTGTCAGATGAGATCCATACATTCATTGCTTAATCCTAAACTTAGGGGCTCAGTTCTCATCTGGTGGTGCAGAGCCTGTCAGTGGAATGTAACATTGCAGGGGAAGGATGACAAAGAGGAATTGAAAGCAACTGCAGCTCAGTGTCCCACGGGACAGCCAGGGCCTGATTTGGCTGTGTTGCTGACTCAATAACCTTTTCTCAGGTTACCACCCATTGGTGTAAAATCTCTGCAGCTTGGCCATGGAGTCTCATTGGAGCAATGTTTATGCTCTGCAATATGCTCTCTGAAATGGTTTC